AGGAGAATCTCCATACTTTATTGGAGGTGTTGGGGAACATTGTCACCAAGGATGAGGACAAGGCTGAGGTACTTTCTTTGCCTCACTCTTTAATACCCAGCTCAGTTATTCTCAAGGTTTTGGCCCCCTGCGCTGCAAGACACCTATGTTGAGGAGAATAAACCCCCCATAATTCATGAGGAAACAGTCAGTGACCTGCTACTCCACTTGGACACTCACAAGTTTATGGGGCCAGATGGGATCCACCCAAGGGTTCTGAGGGAGATGGAGGAACTGCTTGCCAAACAATTCTCCATCATCTATCAGTGGTACTGGTCAACTGAGGAGGTCTCAGATGACTGGAGACTTACCAATGAGATATCCATCTACAAGGAGGGTCGGATGGAGGATCTGGGGAACTACAGGCCTATCAGCCTGACCTCGATATTGGGGAAAGTTATGGAGCAGATCGTCTTGAGGGCGATCGCACAGCCTGTGTGCGACAACCAGGGGATCGGGTCCAGCCAACGCGGGTTCATGAAAGGCAGGTCCTGCCTGACCAACCTGATCTCCTTCTATGACCAGGTGACCTGCCTAGTGGATGAGGGAAAGGCTGTGGAGCGGATGAAGGAAAGGCTGTGGATGTGGTCTTAGACTTTAGTTAGGCCTTTGACACCGTCTCCCACTGCATCCTCCTGGAGAAGCTGGCAGCTCATGGCTTTTACACAGGTGGACTCTTCACTGGGGGAAGAACCAGCTGGATGGCTGGGCCTGGAAGGTGGTGGTGAATGGAGTTAAATCCAGCTGGCAACTGATCATGAGTAGTGTTCCCCGGGGGTTAGTGTTGGGGCTGGTGGTCTTCAATATCTTTATATATGATCTGGATGAGGGAATTGAGTGCACCCTTAGCAAGTTTGCAGATGACACCAAGCTGGGAGAAAGAGTAGATCTGCTTGAGAGTAGGAAAGTTCTACAGAGGGATGTGGACAGGCTGTATCGAAGGGCTGAGACCAAATGTATGAGGTTCAACAAGGCCAAGTGTTGGGTCCTGCACTTTGGTCACAAGAACCCCATGCAGTGCTACAGACGTGGGGCAGAGCGGCTGGAGAGCTGTGTGACAGAGAAGGATCTGGGGGTGCTGGTCGACAGCTGGCTGAACGTGAGGCAGCAGTGTGCCCAGGTGGCCAAGAAGGCCAACAGCCTCCTGGCTTGTATCGGGAACAGTGTAGCCGGTAGGACTAGGGAAGTAATGATATAGTGCCCTGTACTCGGTGCTGGTGAGGCTGCACCTCGAATACTGGGTTCAGTTTTGGGCCCCTCAATACAAGAAAGATGGAGATGCTGGAACCTCAGTCCAAAGAAGGGCAACAAAGCTGGTGAAGGGTCTGGTGCACAAGCCTTATGAGGAGCGGCTGAGGGAGCTGGGGTTATTTAGCCTGGAGAAGAGGAGGCTCAGGGGAGACCTTATCATTCTCTGCAACTACCTGAAAGGAGGCTGTAGTGAGGAGGGGGTTAGTCTCTTCTCCAAAATAACTACTGATAGGACAAGAGGAAGTGGCCTCAAGTTGCCCCAGGGGAGGTTCAGATTAGGAATTCCTAGGAAATAGGAAAAAATTCTAGACGGAAAGAATGGTGAAACATTGGAAAAGGTTGCCCAGGGAAGTGGTGGAATCACCGTCCCTGGCAGTGTTCAAGAAACGTTCATATGAGGCACTTAGGGACATGGTTTAGCCAACATCGTGGTGATGGGATTACGGTTGGACTTGATGATCTTGAAGGTCTTTTCCAAACATAGTGATCCTGTGATTTAAAACTAGATTCCACTGCTCCTGTTCATTTTCGGCAATATCTAATCCGAAAAATAATTCTAGGTACGTAAAAGGAAGCATTTATTGGCTAAAGTATTACTCACATTTAGCATATGGGATAGAAATTCTCTTAATATATGTCTGTTAAAATGTTGTTAGATTTACAGCACTTTTTCAAAGTTTCAGGCATGCTCGATGAAAAGATCATGGACTTCAGGTGTATATTTCTATCCAGTTGCTTGTACATTTCTACATAATTTTGTAAATCTCTTTATTTTCACAAAAAAAAGAATCATAACAAGATCACCTTTGGCCTAACATAATTTTCCTACTTAATACTATGTAAGTCCTAGCATGAGACAAGACAAATGTAGACCTTTGCATGCAGATCTGGTTGATGGAACTTTTATGGGTGCCACCAGCACTTGACAGCTACATCATCTCTAATTTTTCCTCCACTGAATCAGAAATTTAATATTTTCTTCAGAGTTTGAGCTTTGTTGAAAGAAAATGAGGGCACTGTATGGGACTCATTAAAAAGCAAAATGTTGTGACCTTGGAAGCAATAACGGAGAATAGCCTGAGTGTGGATTCTCTCAGTTCTCAGACCTTCATCTACGCTTTTGCAAAAAGTAGATAGCTTATTAATTCAGTACTGTTTCATTGGGCTAGACAAAATAAGAAGCAACTATGATCTTAGGTAGATTTGAACATACGTAATTATCATTTATCACTGTTCAAAACATCTCAGATGTGCTGACCTAGAAGGCTCCTCTGAGTTTAGCCATAAATATCTCTGCATGAGCTTCCACTAGTTTTTACAAGTTGTAAGAAAGAGGAGATTTAAACCTCTCATGAGGATATTATGAAACAAATTTAAAGAACGTATAGTATAGTGAAGAGAATGTAGTGTTCCAGGCAGTCATGAGCATTCTTAGAAATATACCTCTATAGCAGTGATTGTTTACTGACACAAAAATTTTTAAGAGTTTGGTCATTCTGTTCTGTGTGCTCAGGGTGAGAGCTCACTTATCAAAAGGAGGAGTCATTATCTTCTATTATTGTAGGGACTAGGGGCTGGGGAGTGACTATTTGTAATCTTTTGTTGTTGTCTTTGATATAGCTCTTAGATGTTATTCTGTCACCTGAGTGCACAAGAGCAGCCTTTCCTGGTTCTCACTGGTCTTTCTCACCTTCCCTGGTTCTTTTAACAACTGTCTTCCTTCTTTTGTTTTACTTTAGGGCAGTGGACAGAGGACTAGTGTAAAATTGCATCACTGGGAGCGCTAAACTTGCACACGTGCAACAGCACACCCATTTGTTTTTTGGAAGAGATAGAATGGGTTCATTCTCTTTGAGAGGTTGGCCCACTGATGGAAAACAGTTCTGACAAACAATGTTTTTGTGACAGAAACCTCCTTCAGATTCTTCAGATGAAACATTCTTGCTGACAGCCCTTGTCACCTATGCGTGATACTTGGGAAGTGAATAATAGTCAAAATCCCTTTCTAGCTGTAGATAACTCTCTCAACTGCTCTCTCCTACTCCCCCTCTCTCTCAAAACAAAAAATGTTTTACTGTTGTTTTAAACTTGGTGGCTCTTTTTACAGGCAAGACTATTAAAACATCCTTTCGTGCATTAAGAATCAATTCTGAAATGTTTTGCAAAACATTATCTGTTTTCTGTTTATGCTTGAATATAAAATGTTGCAGTATTTCAAAGTTTAAGTAAAAATGTTAATATACTAAAGAGCATATTGTTGTCACCTTTCTCTGGAGTATTTATTTATTCCTGATATTGTTCCTTCACTTGAAGGGCACGATCTTATTTCCTCTAATTTGAGTCCGTAATAATTTCCCTTAATTCTGTGGGTTAAACTGACTGGAGAAACTCAAAGTAGAATCTGGCCAGAAGGTCCTTGCTAATAATATTTCCATGTTTCCACAGATAACAAGTTAGAATCACATCTTTAAATGTGGGTAGCATACTATAGAGGAAACATTTTTTTAAGAAAAAGAGAACCAGCTTCTGTATGTAGCTCAAGTAGAGAAAAACAAAATAAAGACTTTGGGTATTTTAAGTGATCACAATGATGTGCTTTGATTCTTATCAAGAGATACAAGCTGAGCAAAGTCGTGTCACAGCAGTAAAGCCTACATGACTTACAAGTATGCTTTAAGAAACACAGATGGTGACTTAGCAAATGACTATCTGTAAAGAATCAGCTCAGCAGCTCAAGTTGAGAGTGTCAGGCAGAAAACTTCTGTTTTCCCAAAGATATATAAAGTCAAGTTTCTGTGCATTTTCAGGCATGAGAGAATGGCACACCTCTTGCAAAACAAGGTGTGTTAAATCCTGAGTGCATTCAGACTCAATGAGTTAGAGTATATTAAAATATTATTTGCAGGTGGAATGATTCGAGTGAACTAATTAGGGCCACCAAATTTGTAAAATGCAAACTTTGACACAACTGTACTTATGCAGATTTTTGTCAGCTGAGACGGGTAGAAAATAAGAAAATGCTTATTTTTATATTCCCTCACATCTTCCACCTTTTCTTCAAACACACATCCGCCATTATTCCATCCAGTCCTACATTCACCCTTTCTGACCTCTTAGCAGCCCACTTACCCTCAGCCGCATGACTTGCCTTCTTATTCTTTTTATCTTAACTAAACAGCTCATCTGTGTTTACTGGCTTCCAATACTGCTGTTACTGTGCTACTGTTAAAGAGTGTTTCTCCTGCCGTCAGCTTACTTCCCTTCTTTTATGGGTCCAAATGTGTCTTCTGTGTTCCTTCTGCCTCCTGATTTCCTGAGCCCCCCGATTTTCAATGCATAAACACACATGGATAATGTGACATGACATAAAAGTGTGATTAAAATTGAGCTGTATAAAGGAAACAATGACAAGTCAGGAAAAGAAAAGAGAGGTAAGAAGAGACGAGAGTCATCTTTTCTGCTTGTTTCTCTTCAAAATTTTATGCTATGGTAAAATGCTTCAAATTCTCTATGATGTTTTCAATTCTTCCATGGTGGTGATCATATAAATTGCTTTGAATTGTCAATTATTGATTCGTTTGTTTGCCCTGTTTCCCAACAATATCCTTGATTAAAGTCCATTCTTTGAGAATTGCTACATTTCTTTCCCATATAGGAAAACCTAAAACACAGAGATAAGTAAGTGGTGTCACAGGTCTTTGCTCCTCTAGGTTGCTCGGAACCCCTGGGGATGAAATCAGGACATATACAGGACTATCAAATTACTGCCTCCAGTGTTTTCCGAACTCTCAACATGGACATGTTCACTTGGGAACCTAGGAAAGCCCGTCTTGACAAGCAAGGCAAAGTTAATGCCTGGACCTCTGGCCACAATGACCAGTCGCAGTGGTTGCAGGTAAAGTTTTATGGAAATTTAGACTAACGTTTATCAGAATGGAAAAGGTTTTCTGATTTAGGATTATGTCTTGCTTCATATTCTGAGTACAGCCAGCCTAAGTCTCCTACACTTAGATGCTGAAGCTAAGAAAACGTACACAGGTTTCATATCTTTGCTACCTCATGTGTACTGCTCTATTACACTTCAAACTGTGCAGCACGCGGAAAAAAATGGCCAAGGAAGCCTTCAACTATGCTGGCCAAAGCTTCAACTCAAGAGGTACAGTGCAGCCATAGTTACTCCTTGGCTAATGAACAGAACTAGAAGCCATAGAGTCGGTACACTGGCTTCTTGATAGCTTGTTGAGAGAAATTATTTTTTCTGTTCTTTTCTTCCAAAGCTCCCTAGAAAAGTAAATTTACTTGAGCTTTGTGCATATTGGTGCTAATGCAAATCTGGCCCCTAGAAATTACCTTTTTGTAATTGACACTGTTCCAAATTACCTTCCAACATCACTCTGAAACTGGTAAGATTGATTGAGTACCATGAATTCATTATGAAGTTACACATAGGGGTTGTTTTCAGTCTAGAGTGATTTATACAAGTTGGTAGTAGGCTAATGTGAAAGATTGTGATAAATCAACATGTGGAAGTCTATTTGACCAGGCACTGATACATTTATTTTTTTCTTGAACTATTGAAAATTGCAGTGTTTTGAGTCAGCTGTCAGTTTGCAGCTAAGTTCTCTGCAGGAAGTCTCAATAGCACTAGACAGATGGTACGAACCCTTCTGCAACCTTTTCACATATAAATTATGTCTTATTAGTATTTTTTGCCTATGGTTACTAAGCAATTTAGCAATGTGATTACTATCGTTTCTCCAAGTTTACATACACAGAGAAAAGAAGTAGCAGTTGCCTTGTCTATTTAGCATATGAATAATTGAAGAAACAGGGATTTGGTGAAAGTTTTTTAGAACAGCTTGTTGATACAACAGGTAGTAACTCTGGGAGAGGAAGGAGATGTTAGAGTTGTGTTTTATGGTAGAGAAGCAGGTGAAAAATGTTTATCCACATAAAAGAGAGGCAGTTGTATCAGAACCAGTTTTAGCCCTATCAGCCATGCCAAGAAACCGAGAGTATTCAGAGAGTCTGCGGAAATACTCTGTGGTGTGCTATTCCTCCTGTGAATAACACTGTCTTTTTAATCAATTAGAGATGGCAAGGAGCTGTAAAGCCAATTCTTGTATACTTAAAGTCTTCATAGTCCTACCATATTTGAACCTATCTGAACATACAAAAGATTCTGGAGCTATGTGACCACTTGCAGGATCTCTGCAAGTCCCTGCAGTATCCAGCATATTCTTTAATTGTATATATTTATACTGTTATATAAATAAAAATATGCATGCTTCACTTGTTTTGCAGCTATGACATGCTTTCAGAAAAATTCACAGGAACATGACCATTTTACCATCTTTCAAAAGTCACTATATAGAATCTTTCTAAGACACATGATAGCATTTCTTCCTAGAAAAAAAGAGGCATTATAAGATTGCTTGATTTTACTGTGCTTAAACAGGTCATTAAGTTGTGCTTTTTTCTGATCATACTGAATTCAATTTATAAGTAAATGTGGGCTCGGATGCATCAAGTCTACGTAGAAATTCTGTAAGTTACATTTACTGTTATCTCTGTCCTCACTGAAATCCAGCTTCTCTCTCTCTCTTAACCCTAACCCAAGGTGTGAGCCATATCTCAGGTGGGGCCAGCAAGCCTAGTGTTGTCTCTTAAGCCAAAGTTATCCTACAAGGAATGTGGCTAGTGTGCTACACTTGCTTTGGCACGCCTTTTGTCTCGCTGCACCCTATGGTGCTCTAGGCTTTCTAAACTAACCCTATCCCTGGCTGTTAGCCAAATCTCAGGATGGGCCAACAAGCCTAGTGTTGGCTCTTAGGCCAAAGTTATCCTAGGAGGAATGTGGCTAGTGCTCTATGCTTGCTTTGGCATGCCTTTTGTCTCGCCATGCCCCATGGTGCTCTGGGCTTTCTCCCTCTCTCTTAACCCTGACCCTAACCCTAGGTGTGAGCCATATCTCAGGTGGGGCCAGCAAGCCTAACGTTGGCTCTTAGGCCAAAGTTATCCTAGGAGGAATGGGGATTGTGAATAATGCATACTGACCCCTCAGTTTTAACATCTCATTTGTTTTATCCTTAGTGTGGTAAACAATTCCTCAAATTAAGATCCTTGTCAAAGAGTGTGTTAGTTCACAAGATACAGCAACTTTGCCTGGTGGGGTTGTGATTAAATACAGATTTAAATATCAGAGAATTGATTAGGTAAATTTCAGTATAAAAAGTGGCCACTTGTAGCATATTGATAAATGGGTTCTAGTGATAAAGTGAAAGGCAGGTAGAGGTACCCATTTATAAATTGCTAACCAGTAAATTTGCCTACTTCATGCTTCCTAGCCAGTAGCGCCTAGCCTGGAATTCAAATATGTAACTTTACTAGTTTTCTCGTTTGCCAGTATAACATAGATTTTGTTCTGCAACTACCAGGTCATGCACTATGTCCTTAAAAATGTGTACTGATGTGAACAGTAAGATTTTTTTTCCTTGTTGTGTCTTCTTTTGTTGCCAAAGCATTATTAACTCTTCAGTAATAAATATACAGTAATAAATAAACACAAAGTGTTAAGAGGTATGTCTTGATTTCCTAGTTGCAGTTACTTGTCACCAGGTGATGGCCACCTGGTGGCCACCAATTTGATGGCCATTCCAGAGGCCAGCTCTCCAGAGGCCAGCTCTCTAATCCAGCTTCTGTCTCTAATTATTTCAAGTTCAATGCATTATTCACATTAATAATGTTATTAAATAGTACATTTCAGCATTGCCCTTTCTAAATTGCTTATGACTTTGCAAAGCTTTCTTCTGAAATTCATTTTATGGTAATATTTATAGTGGTCATTGAATTTAAGCCTCAAAATTAAATGAGGCAACATAAAGTCTTGATTACTTAGGGTTTTAGTGTTGTATCTAGACTATATTTTATCAATTAGGTAGGTATATTAGGAAAAAAAAACTTTGATTTTACTCTGTATGGCCAAATAACAAGGAGACTGTTAGAAGAGCAGTCTGGGTACAGAAGTTGCAAGGTATCCATGAAATGGATAGCAGCTGGATATAGCTTATTAATTATTTCCTGGGGATCGAATTTGTATAATGATACCTTAATAAACAGGTACAAAGGCACATGTTCATCTGAACAGTGAAATTGCTATAGTAAAGATTTTATAGGAAAAAATAAGTTTCACTGCAGTGTCCTACACTGTTCAGTGAATTTTATTTCTTATTCCCCCAATCTGCTATGGAGAATTGTAAGAGATTAACTCTGTGTTCCAGGCCCTATCTTTGAAATCTAATTCTAACTAATATAACTAATTGTTTGAAATCTAACTAATCTAACTAATCACTAACAAAACTTGTGAGAAGTTTCCCTAAGCAGCTGAACCACGTCTAGCTTTAAAGGGTTGCAAGAAAATACTGTCAATTCTCTTACTGATTTGTCATTTTTCTCTGTGTCCTGAAGATTAAAGTTTAAATGAATAAAGGTCCATTTCCTGTTACGATAATGTTTTTTTGATCTTGCTTTTAAAAAAATGGGAGTATAAAGCAAAGCTCCCTGTTTTTTCTGCATTTTGATGCACATGGAATTTTAATTCGAAGTGTTTGTTGTTGTTGTTATTGTCTAGTTACATTAGGAATTTTACTGTTACTTGATGCCCATAGCAGCATCTTCTGAAAATGGCATGCATTGCATTTTAATTGGAAGTTGTTAGCTCTTCATTGTTTTAAATCCCTATCTTTTTTATATAGCCTTGCTTTCCCAATTTTGAAAAATATTCTCTCTGTATTTCTAAAATAATATCATGATTTCTAAAACAAAATCACATTTTCCTTTGCCTTTATAAAACAAAACAAAATAGCTACAAAATTGATTAGTGATGAATATATATTTTTTAAAAAAAGAGTGCAAACATTATATCTTCTTGCCCTGTTCTTCAAGGGCAAAATTCTTTAAAGGTGTCCACCTTTTTTTTTTTTTTTAATAAAATTATTCCTTGTTTTCATAGCCATATCCCGATTAGTTTGGAGAACTATGCAGAATTGGAAACAGTTGTTTCCCCACATGTTTCCCCACATTACTTTTAATCTAGACAAGATAAAAGGAAGATGAAGGAAACACAGATGAAGGGAGAAATAAAGTGACCTTGGCAAGGTCAAATACCTTTAAGCAGCAAAAGCTGCCTGATGTAACAGTCTGCAAAAGCCAATGAAGGGTGAAAACAGAATGGAGTAGAACCAGGTCTAGTTCTGTTTTCTGATGGCTCAAAGCTTGACTGGGCTATGCTGTTTTTACTACCTACTGCTGTTTTAGTACCTTATTTCCCAAATGTTACTTCTTGACTAAGCAAGGCACTTGCATATTTTCTTTATACATCTGTTAAGATCTCATAAGCAAAATATACACAAAAGGTCTAGGAAAGGTATTGTCCACTGATTTGCACTTAATTTTGCATTCTTACAATTTCAATCTTTATGTCACATTAAATGCACATTGAGGTTTTATTAGGGAATTTTGGCTGACTTCAGAACATTTTAATTCAAAATCTGCTTTCTTTTTTTTTTTTAATTCCATACATAAAGTAGTGAGATGATGTATCATGCAGAACCATATTACCTCTCTCTTTAATAACATCCATACTGATTTATCATCAAGTAAAGCAAGAGTAGTTTCCCTGTCAGCAAAACATGACATAAGAGAAAAATCTTAGCAGAAAATGTTAGAAAGAAAGAAAAAGAACTTAAAAGGGAAATGACAGTAGTCACAAAAATGCAGCTTCTAAATATTTCTTCAGTCATCTGAGACTTGTTCAAAAGCACCTTGAGATTTGTAATATAAAGTGTTAGAATATGCTCTCTTAAGAGTTTGCTCTCTGATTTGGACCCTGTGTGT